ATAATGAATTTCGTTGAACATTAAGAAAACATCTCATCTTCAAATCTTCCAATTTCCTGTCCATGAAAAATACCAAAAAAAAATTTTCTTACAAAGCTTCGATTTTTTTTTGTCAAGAAAAAATTGAAAATTATTCATATTAAATTAAAGAATGTATCTTAAAGAAGCGTATCAAGAGAATTATCTCTTTGTCGGTAAAAGTATGTAATAAGTAAATCTACTGTCTAGAAAAATCTGTTGGACATTTTTAAAAGATTTAGATTTCTCTGACCAGGATAAATATCTAAATTGATTATTCTGAAAAATTCTGATTTGTCCTGGAAAAATTCTGTTTTGCACAAGAAAAATACTGATTTTTCCGGGGAAAAAATCTGTTTTTTTTCCAGGAAAAAGTTTGGTTGCCACGTGCAGCTCTTCGTTTGTCTGAAGCTCCCTGGGCAGAAGAACTTGAAGCAGTTGAAGAGTATCCAATCCTTCAAGATACTGATCAGGACTTACAGATTCCAGGTAGTGTAGATTCAGTTGAGGTGGATTTGCAATCCTTCAAGATTACAGATTCCAGGTAGTATATGTAGGTACAGTTTAGGCCGAAACGACATTATTGATTTGATAAAGGTATTTAATTGGTATCACTGTGAATCGAACATTGACATCTCTGCATGAACGATCCCTTAAAGCTAAGCCTCCTGTCTCTTAAACCCTATAATATCTTTTTAAACTAAGAATTTCTTTTATTTGAATTTCTGTGAAAAACGTTTTATTATTACAGGAGGGGTTGATATGTCGTGTGCCAGTCTGGACTACGATGAGTCTGATGATGATTTAAGGAAGGAAGATATCAGTTTTACAGGTGATACTATCTTCCCCCTTCCCTTTCAGTTTTACAGGTGATACTATCTCCCCCCCCCCCTCCCTTTCAGTTTTACAAGTGATGCTATCTTCCCCCCCCCTCACTTTCAGTTTTACAGGAATACCATTTTTACTCCCCCCCTTTCAGTTTTACAGGTGAAACCATTCCTTCCCTTTACAGTTTTACAGGTAATACCATGTTTACCATCCCCCCCCCTCCCTTTCAGTTTTACATTTAATAACATTATCCCCCCACACCTTTCTCCTCAGTTTTACAGTTTTAATGTAGGTCTTCATGGAAAGGAATTAAATCATTGTCATAAACGCAAATTCTCTAATCTCTATATCTCTGCAACATAAATGTGTAAAACTTTGAAGATCATTTGATTTAACAGAATTCACGGCTTGAAATATCTAAGGTCTTCGCCATTGGGTGGAAAAGTAAAAAAATTTGCTCTTTAAAACCTAATCAACATTTTTACACTAGGAGAAAAAATATGGTAAAATCTATTTTACAGTAGTATGTAACTTCTCTCAGGGTTAACTGGCATAAGGAAAATAAATAAAATGTTTAGAAAACCATTTTAAATTTTTTAATCCCTTTATGATTTTTGTGGAACATTAAAAAATTATAGAAGTTTTTAGCAAAAAGAATCTTGATGTTATTTCTCATCAGTGCTTACAAGTTACAAAGATATTTTGACAATGATTCACATATATCTTTACACACAAAAGCGTATTGCATATTAAACTTCTCCTTCTTGTTTAATTCTCAAAATTAGATTTTAGAAAAACTTATTTCTCAAATTATCTCTATTATTGTTACTGTTTAACAATGGTTAAAACAGAAAATATAATAAAGAAAATAAAAGATAATTTTCCAAAAATTAATATTGTTTCTGAAACATGATATCTATATAAAAAGTACATAGATAGATACATTAAAAAAAACATTTTTGTTGTATTTACGACATAAACTCATAATTTAGTCATTGAACTACATTTAGCCTATGACCCTTCCAAAATTAAAAGTTACAATTTTTTAAAATATACAATTTCACAACCGAAAAGACAGAGTCCGAATTTAATGAATTTGAGCCACGTCTCAAATCCGCCAAAACCGGTTTCAATTGAGCGCCGGCTTAAATCCTTAAACAATCAATTAAATTTTAAAGGGAACCAATTATATTTGAGCCGTGTCTCATATTTAAGCCGCGGTTCAAATTCTTTAAATTGGGCCTCAGGTTACATTGCACGTCTTTTACTAGCAAACTCCAACTTAAAAAAAAAATTTAATTTTTCGTTTATATTAAATTTAGTCAAATGAACATAAAACACAGCAAATGTGCAGTGTTCACAGACCCGTTTCAGTTAATTAAGTTTATTTGCAAGCCAATGGTAAAATTATTTAATTTAGAACACCAACATTCAATATAGGTTGCATACTCCACAGTTTTATTGGTCCCGGTGTATTAACTTGAAATCTTTGAAAATGATTTTAGGAGAATCTGAATCTGGTTTAACAGTCTCTAGATCAATCTCCTTGGATGCTGGAGCCCTTGCAGGTCGAAAAAAAAATATTTTTATTATTTTGTAAAAAGTAAATTTTGTTAATTATGTCCACAGTTCCCTATTAAAGTCAAACAAACGATTAAATTTCATCGGACGAGGAAAGGAGTTATTGCATTGCACCTTTGTATTTTCTGCAGGGTGTCTTAATAAACATGGGAAGTGAGAGACGAAAAGAAGGTCGTCATTGATTTCTGATATTAAATAAATGGCAAAGAAAGTATAAAAATGAGGCTGTACGTCTGACGAGCTTTTCATCAAATAAATTGAAATTTGTACTTATTTTGCAATATCTCCATATATTTTGAAGATACAAAATGGTTGATAACATTTTGAAAATCTAGAGACCTGGCGTTTTCATATATTAGATGAATAAGCTAAAATACTGCAATAATTGTGTTTATGAAAACATGACGCCTGGATCGATGACGATATACAACTTGTCGTCACTGAATTCCTATGTTTATTTGGACACCCTGTTTCTAGGCGAATTGTTGAAACGAAGCAGTACTTCTATATCCCGTGGGAGTAACAACAGCTCCGTAGAACCCGGTCTTGGTCGAGCTTACTCAGAGGGGGGACCTTGTTCAGCTCCTGGGTCCCCTAGGTAGATATATCCTAAGTGAACTGAGACCGAATTTAAAGAATTTAAACCACATCTATGAACTGTCCAAAACCGGTTCCAATTGAGCGCCAGCTCAAGTCTCGAACACAATTTTAGTGGAACCAACCATGTTTGAGCCGCGCCTTAAATTTGAGACGCGGCTCAAATTCTTTAAATTCGGTCTTAGGGAACTTTAGAAGTGGATACCCTTAATCCCGATTGCTTAATTTGAATATCCAATGTGGTGTGTGGACACTTATAATTCACTCTTTTTCTTTCTTTTTGGATATTCCTGAACAGATTCCGACCAAGGAGAGTTATCTCTTTAAATGGCGCGAAAGATTTCAAATTTCCCGTCTTCTGATTGGCTGTTCGGATGTCTTCATACGCCACTCTATTGGTTGAATATTACACAGTTTTCAGGGTAGAAACTAAAAATTAAATTAATCTTGAAATTGATCAACAGAGGAGATCAAGCATTGATCTCAATATTCACAATTCTAATGTTTTCAGTTCTGAGCTGGGAACTTATGAATGTTGGATATCGGGATTAATGCTTGATCCACTCTTTTTTCTTAATCTCCAGATTAAAAAAGGCTTGTTCACCTCTTGTTATTAATCTCCAGATTAATTAACCGAACGGGATTAAGGATATCCCATTCTAAAGTTTTCAGTTCTGGTCCCCTAGGTAGATATATTCTATATATTGGTCCCGATTTTGGATAAATGCAAAGCTAACAATAATGATCACATTTGACCCGGTATTTGTCGTCTTTTTTCCCAAGAAACCATGTAACGTTATGTAAATTTAAGTAGCATATACGTTAGAGTATTTTCTCGTTAGTGAATTGTTAAAATTAACATTTAAAATACTCAAAAAAATTATTCTAAATTTGCATGTGTCCCACTGCAATATGGATGATGGATATATTCATTTTGCAGACTTAAAAGTTACAGGGGTACCTACAAATGACAAGACTGTAAAGCCGACCCAAAACTCGTAAAATATGACAATTTGAAGGTTGATTTTTGGTTTCTGTATTCAAGTGTGTATTTTGATGGTTTACCAACTGATCAAAAAAGCCAGTTTTGGCCCCCAAAGAACCCTGAATGCAAGAAAACAGACTAAACAAATGCCGTAGAACCGTCTATAAAGTCTCATTCTTTGTGAGTAACCCCGTTCAAGTAAACACTTGTACACGGGTTCATCTTTTATTGTTTAGATCCTTACCAGCCACACCTCACAAATATAAGAAAGGAGATATTGTGTCTACGCCCTCAGGAACACAATATATAAACTCATCATTTTTTAAAAATAATTAAAATATTAGAATTCAAGTTTTTTAGCAATAAATCCAAGTTGAATATTGCTGTGGTTACAGGTATTCGGAAAAAGTTTAATGGAAAGCAGTGGAGAAGACTTTGCTCAAAGGAAGGTTGTTCAAAGGAATCCCAAAGGCGAGGTTATTGCTCCCGCCACTTGAGTCTCAAGGGCAAGGTGTACGGTCAAAACTCAACCCTTGCTACCAACACCTATGCCGGAACAACGCTAATTATTGGCAGCCCAGGGTTAGATTTAACCTCAACCCCTCTAGGTCAATCCACGCCACTTTCTACCCAAAGGAGTCTTTCATTATCTACGGAGGAAAATGATGCTGCTAAAATGGAGGCAGCAAACCTTCTTGTATCCTTGTCTGGATCCCGTAGTTCTACTCCAGCAGGATGCTTCTCCCCAAACAATGCTCAGCCAAGTCCATCGCTGCGAACCATGACAAGTCCTAAATCCTTACCAGGTTCCCACCATAATATGTTCCTACCCATTGTCACCCCCGGACATCAGATGCTAGATCCAAGATGGAGATCTCCTGCCATAACAACAGCCTCCCCTATTCCCACAAGCTTTATTGCTAAACCGGGGCATGGGCTGATCCGACCTGAGCTTGTTCGGCCGATGAAGATAACAAAGATACTGCCTCCTGCTCCTATTCAAACATCTACTGAGATTATAAGGCTAAACTCCAGCCAAGCAGACAAGATCATTGTATCAATGATACCTGCCACTCAGATTTCATCTCCATCAACCCAGATCAGAACAAGTTTTGGATTAAAGAGCAATTCACTAGTTACCATGAGCTCCATCCCTGCAACCCCCAATGCTATCCCCATGACAACTTTTCTGAGTGGTCAAAGCGTAATCAACCCGCAGACCATCACTGTAATACCAGTAACAGGGACTCTTCCTGGTAAACCTCCAGATCTACCCAACAGTACAGCAGCCAATACGGTTTACTATGTTATACCGCAGAAGGGTATAAACATTGCACGTCCCATGCTACCTGTGTTGAGTACAGGAATGAACGGTCCACAGGACCAGGACAAGTCAGTAGCAATTCACATTCCAGACAGGGGCACCAATGACCCCAATAATGGCAGCTCTATGCCCCTGCTCATCAAAACAGGGGCGTCACAAATTGTTCAGAATCCTGTTGCAAGCTCTGGGACTCAGCTTGTTGTTCTCTCCAATGGTTCCATTTCATCTGGAAATCCCCCAAACCCCACAGCGCTACTGCCAGTAATAACAGTGGCAAAGGCAGTAGCGTCAACACCAGCCACAATAACAACTAAGGTAACAGAAAACACCTTAAACTGGGAACTTTTGTATTGGATATATATAGTCCTCTCCCTTGATGTTGATATCCACTATGGACACTTTAATTAGAGGGTCTTTAAAAACAAGCCCTTTCCATATTTTCAATTTAGATTTCCTCCCCTGATCAATGATCAAGCTCCCTTCAACCACTGACTGGGTAACGTTTACTAGATATGAATAAAGATTAAATTAATTCAAAGATCAACAAAATATTGAGATCAAGCATTGGTCTCGATATCCACAATACAAGGGTTCCCAGGTCGAAGAACATATTTAAAGGGAAAATGACAGTTTATGAAAAGAAAATGGACTCTAAAAAAGTCAAATTTAAATCAGATGGAGTTCTTAGATATTTTAGAGGTTCAGACTATTACTAAACCATTCTCATTAAAAAGACTTTTAGACATTTAGTTATCGGTTTTAAGATATTTATTTAAAGTTTTGTAGTTTAAAAAAATGTTTAATATTTATTAATGTTTGTTGCACATTTTTCCGGTTTTTTAATAGTAATTAGTTGGTCTGATTGATTTGGGTTTCTTCTTAGAATAAAATAATTAAACTTTAAATTGCCATGAACTTGTTTAAAGGAAATTTAAAATAATCTATAATCATATGAAAGTGACTTTTTGAAAAAAGAAACAATTGGTTGTAATTATTCCAACTGATATATTTTCCAGGTTGAGAAATTAGAGGATCCTGGAACTAACTCTACCCTTACAGTTTACCCCTGGCATTCTCTAGTACCATTCATCACCACAGCAAACCCAACAGGTAGGGCACTATGGACTAGAGTCAATTTAACTTCGAACCAGACCAACCCCTTGTACCAGGCTTACTGACGCAGGGCATGTACTGGCCCAACGCCCTGTACCAGTCTTACTGACGCAGGGCAAGTACATGGACCAACCCCTTCTACTGGCCTTACTGACGCAGGGCATGTACTGGACCAACCCCCTATACCAGCCTTACTGATGCAGGGCAAGTACTGGACCAACCCCCTGTACCAACCTTACTGACGCAGGACAAGTACCGGACCAACCCCCTGTACCGGCCTTACTGACGTAGGGCAAGTACCGGACCAACCCCCTGTACCAACCTTTCTGACGTAGGGCAAGTACCGGACCAACCTCCTGTACCGGCCTTACTGATGCAGGGCAAGTACCGGACCAACCCCTTATACCATCCTTACTGACCCAGGGAAAGTAGCAAGTACCAGACCAACCCTATCTTATGCCGGCTCGGTTTCAACTTTAATAGCGCGGCCAAACTTTTTACAGTACATAGCCTATCATTGGCCTATATTTGATATTCCCCACTAGCTTAGTTTAGTGTAAGGTAAGGATCGTTTACACTAGTCGATAAAATGAACTGCAGAGTAATCTTTATTTTTTATTTTTTCTCGTTTCGTTACAAAAGGTGTTGGTCAGTTTTGGGTTTAGACCGAACCTTCGTTAACGACATATACCTTTACAATAGAATGTCAAAAAATATATTAAAAAAAAAATAACAAAGTCGGAATATCGGTCACAAGCATTAAAAACATATACATATATATTAATAAGTTTCTCTTAGTGCAGAATCTTTAAAAGAATTATAGCGTACACAATTCAAATTTAATTGTGGAAACATTTAGAAAAACGATTGCTTTCAATATGGACGTTTCGTTTCCTGATTTTTAAAAGATCAAACAAACATTTCGTTAAACGAAGGGATAGTTTTAAAAAAGAAACATCAAAAACGAAACGAAAAGCTATAGTTTTTTTGCTTGTTTTTATAATTAATTAACAATCTTACCTTTAGGAACCATCTCCAGCCCCTTGAATAACCACAGGGGCTCCAACAGCTCTAATCCCTCCAACTACCAGGAGGGTGGAGGAGGACCTGGAAAACCTCCTCCGAAAGCCTTGGATAAGGATGGAAGTATGGAGGGAAGTAATGGATCTGGTAGAGGAGACAATGATGTCCCTCCCTCTCCTGGGGGTAGTTCGGTTGAGGGAGAGGAGGATGTTTTCTTTCATGACAATGCACTTCCTTCACCAACCAACCATACTGAAGGAAAACTGATTTACAATTTAAAATATTAGTTTCTTAAAGGGACTGTAAGCGTGAAGTGTGCATGCAAAGATGTTGATGACCTGTTTACAACGGTGCCCTTTAAAGCTTTGTCTGATAAAGTATGATTTAGATATTAATGTTAACAATTTTGAAAATTGATTATTTTCAATTATGGTTTACAAAATTGACTTGCGAATTTCTACTGCTGGGAAAACATATGGAACTGATCAAATTTACCTTCTTTATTCCTAGAAAAACGACATTATTGATCAGATAGCGGTTTTAAGGGTATCCCTGTGAATCGGGCATTACCGTCTTTGCAAGGACGCGGTTACTTGAAATTAATTTAAAGTGACATTTAGCGCGATCTACATTTATAATAAAGATATCCTTTAATATCGTTTAACTTGGTTCCCATCAAAAGTTATGGAGCACAAAGAAAAGGAAGTTGACAGAAATAATCCCTTTTTTATCTCCAACTCAATGATAAAAATCTGCTTTTGCCCTTTTTTTTTGGAAAGGGGCAAAGGAGTTTATACGCACATGCCGCGTAGAATTACAAGAAAAAAAGAGAGTCCCCTAGCCTGTCCTAGTCGCGGGCTTGGCCCAGAAAGTGCCTTAACCTCACCTAACCCTAAATTATGTGCTAATCTCTCTCTTTCTTGTAATTCAACGAGGCAAACGCGCGTAACTCCTTTAGGCAACTGCCTTTTTTACGAAGTTTTTGTGTTGAAAATGCATTAAAAAAGTAAGAAAATATTATTTTTTTAAAAATCATACTTAAGAATAAAAACGAAAATGATATGGTTTTTAAATATCGCAAAAAATCCATTAAGATGCTTTAAAACTTTTCTAAAAACTGATAACATATGCTAATGAACTTTAAGTAAAATTTTTTTAAATGACAAAAATTAAAAATAAATCTGGTTTTAGGCGGCGCTTCTGCAGGCAAACTGGGCCGAATTCGTCGACCAATGAATGCATTTATGATTTTCAGTAAACGACATCGACCCCTGGTTCATCAAAAACATCCAAACCAAGACAACAGGTAATTCATAATTTTTTACTTCAATAAATTTCATTATTTTGAATATTTTAATTTCAATCCGGACTTAATAACTTAAAAAATAAATCATTATATGGAGTTTCTAGAATTAAGGAACTAAACTGTTCACTATTTTGTTTTATTGGTTTTGTAAATAAAGAAATAAGTTTACAGTTTACAGTTACAGGGAACACAAAATGGGTAATTAAGTTAAATGGTTAATGCGTAAGTTTTGTAAATTTTCCTACCATTTGTGAGTTGCCCTTTAGCTTAGAGTTTTGCGCATTTTAATCAAATTAAGTACCGACCTAAAAAAGAAAGAATTTTTTTAAAAGCTATATTAAAATAATTTTAACCATTTCCATCCTAGAACTGTTTCGAAGATACTGGGTGAATGGTGGTATGCTCTAGGGAACCAGGAAAAACAAAAATATCACGATCTGGCCCATCAGGTCAAAGAAGCACATTTTAAGGTAAAAAACATTATTTTTTTAATGTTGATCAGTAATCGCTTTTGTATTTATTTTAGTCAATTATTACAAAATTCTTTCAATTGAAACTTAACTATTTCAATTATTTGGATGTAAAGACGATGCTTGTGTCCCTGTGTGTCAATTATAGCCGAAGTAATAGCTTGTTTGATATCTACGCTTGTGTCCCTGTGCGGCTTTTAGAGCCGAAGTAATAGCTTGCTTGAAAGCTGCGCTTGTGTCCCTGTGTGGCATTTAGAGCCAAAGTAATAGCTTGTTTGATAGCTACGCTTGTGTCCCTGTGTGGCATTTAGAGCCTGATTTATAGCTTGTTGATAGCTAAGCTTGTGTCCCTGTGTGGCATTTAGAGCCAGGTGGGTTGATTTATAGCTAGTTGAAAGCTGAGCTTGTGTCCCTGTGTGGCTTTTATAGAGCCAGGTGGGTTGTGTCCTTGGGTAGCGGACTGGTTGTGCCTGGACTGATACAGTTTTGAGAGTACAGCATTTACTACAGGGTGTCCAATCACATCTCATGAACCCTTGGACCGGTTTACTCCAAATTGTGATAAGAGAGCTCAGTAGAACCAGGGGCACATTCTCAACCTGGTTTAAAACTTCTAAGCTGAGTGGGTTAACTTGTATTGGGAAAACTCCTGGCAATGCTGGGTTCCCAAGCTAGACTTACACAAGCTTTAGACCTCGATATGTCAACCACATAGGAAAATTTAAGAGGAAGAACCCGAAGAAACTTATGTCCAATTCTTAATCTTTTTAATTAAAAAGATTTTATTTGATTTTTATCAGGCGCATCCTGAGTGGAAATGGTGCAGTAAGGATAGAAGAAAATCCTCAAGTTCCAAATCTGATAATGGACAGGGGGATGAGGGGGCGGGGGAATGGGAGGGCAGGAGGAGAGATGAGGAAGGGAAAAGGGAAGATGAAGGTGAAGGAAGGCTGGAAGAAGACAGGGATTTTGAGGATTTAAAATGCAGGGAAAAGGTATCAGACGCAGACACAGACATAGGTAATATTTTTAAATATTTGAATCTATGTATAAAGTTGTAATCTCTGTTTGTTTGTTTGTATGTCCGATCATAACTCGATGAGTCACTGTCCAACTTGGGAACTAGTTGTAACCACAGAAACGTTCTTAGCTTGGTTTTAACGTCGTAAATTGGGGTGGTCGACTTTTTTTAAAATCTAATATTTTATGGCAGTAAATTGAAAAATATATTTTCTTTTTAATTTCTAATATCATTCAAAAAAGATTTCATTGAAATATTTTGTTCATTTTTGTTGTTGCAAGTATATTTTTCTTTGTCGTAGTGTAAANTTATTTTATTATTGTTCGTTTTTTTAACATAAAACATTTTATGAAATAGAGTCAGAGTCGGAACAATGGCACCAGAAATCTAATAATAGCCTCGTGCAAACTATACGACCAGCATTCCAGGTATATAATCATAACCAGACTCGGGCAAACTATACGTCCAGCTTTCCATGTATATAATCATAACCAGACTCGGACAAACTATACGTCCAGCTTTCCAGGTATATAATCATAACCAGACTCGGGCAACGTATACGTCCAGCTTTCCAGGTATATAATCATAAACAGACTCAGACAAACTATACGTCCAGCATTCCAGGTATATAATCATGACCAGACTCGGGCAAACTATGCGTCTGCAGCTTTCCAGGTATATAATCATAAAAAGACTCGTGCAAACAATATGTTTAGCTTTCTAGGTATATAATCATAACCAGACTCGGGCAAATTATACGTTCAGCTTTCCAGGTATATAATCATAACCAGACTCGGGTAAACTATGCGTCCAGCTTTCCAGGTATATAATCATAAACAGACTCGGGCAAATTATAAATTAAGCTTTCCAGGTATATAATCATGATTCCGAAATCATAGATAAGAAATTTTATCGATAGGATATTTCATAGATAGATATTTCATAGACAGGATACTTCATATATAGGATATTTCATAGATAGGGTATTTCATAGACAGGATATTTCATAGACAGGATACTTCATAGATAGGATATTTCATAGATAGGATATTTCATCGATAGGGTATTTCATGGATAGGATATCTCTAATCATAGATAAGAAATTTCATCGATAGGATATTTCATAGATAGATATTTCATAGACAGGATACTTCATATATAGGATACTTCATAGATAGGGTATTTTATAGACAGGATATTTCATAGACAGGATACTTCATAGGATATTTCAAAGATAGGATATTTCATCGATAGGATATTTCATGGATAGGATATCTCTTAAAAGATGAACATTTGGGTGTATGTGGATTTTTTTTGCACAGAATCCACAGAACGTAACACAAACGATAAAAAATGATATTTTTTCCAGATTCAGCAAAACTGTGAAACTGATGGAGTGAAGTTGAATCGGTCCTTAAACAAACCCTTTCATCCTTCAGGGTCAGGGGCATTCAAACAGATGCCAGCCAAGTCTGAGGTTGGTAACATTCACTTTATTTACTTTTTTGGTATAGACGCAACTGATATTATTTGTAAGGGGGGGGGATNTACTTTCATGATGACATAAAATTTTAAACAAAATTTTTTAGAATTTCAAAGAAAGAAACTTTGATAAAATCTTCGCCATGTCTTCATTTTTATCGTTCTTTTAAATTAAAGTTGCGCATTTGTTTGTGAAGGGATACTATTAACACAAATAATGGGATGTCAATGACGACCTGAACAACCTAAAAATATAAATATAACATAAGGGTTTCTGTCGTATTTTTTAAGTTATATTAAAATCCCGTAAACAATGATAAAATTAACATTGGTAAAGAAAAAAGACTAAATAAATTTTGCATAGTCGTCGTTGCAGTCTCATCCTTTGATTGTAACCCGTGTCCCGTATATTTCCACAGAAATAATCAAGTCTGTAATTCTAATAATTTTGCTAACTTCAAGTTTAAAAAAAAATAAGTAAAAATCTCGAGTAAACCGCATTTTTTTCAACTAGCATTGTTTAATCGATTCATTGTTTTCTTTAGGATCCAGTTCTCTTAGGAGAGCATGGTTTAAGCAGTTCACAAAGTAAAGCCGGACAATTTATTATCATCACACAGGTTCAGGAATCACAAGGGAAGAAATCCACAAATCTACCAACAACAATATCTACTGGCGGCCATTTTAACAATATGGCGCCCAGTGGGCAATTCATAAATGTTCAGAATGGCGGACAGTTGGTTAATATATCAACCAGTGGACAATTTACAACACTGACAAACGGCGGACAGTATACAACAGTGTCCAATGGCGGACAGTTGTCAGCTGTGTCTAACGGTGGACGTTTTACAATTGCATCAATAGCCGGAAATGCGCCAAATTCAAAAATGAAATCAACAAATGGTTCGGCAATGCAGGAACATGAAAAAAATTTGGAGACATTCGAAGAAATTAACAGTAATTCTTCAATAAAAGTTAACACTTGTAACACAGGTAGGTTTTTTATTTGCTATGTAATATTAATATTATATTCTCAACAAATATAATTTTTTTTTACAAATTTTATTTAAATTTTTGTCGGTCAAAGCCAATTTTCAAAAATATACTTGACGTTTTTAATGAAACAAAAATTCATATTTTCATTGTTCAGTTGAAGGAGATAAAGATGTACAAAGCTCCGGAGTAAATCCTTTAAATTCTAAAAAATGTCGAACCATGCCTCCACCATTAGTTAACTTACCCAAAGATGACATTGACCTGGAGGACAAATTCATCCTCGGTCCTACTCCTGCCATGAGAACAAAAACCCCGTCCTCCCCCTCTGTGCCCTCGACCCCAACAACTCCGACAATGAAGAGGTTCTTCCGCAAGGCGACCAAGGAAGACGGAATGGACAAGGTTTTGGAAACTGTAAATTTTCAGGAGAAGTTTTCCTCTCTCCCAGAGTTTAAACCGAGTTCCACTGGAGTCTCACTCCCCTCCTCCCCTCAGATAACGGCAGGATATGTAAAAAAACACAAACTCTTAGATGATGATCTAGGAAGTGACGCCACGGCAACTCCTCGTACACCACGAACCCCAATAACATGTTCAAGTACACCTCACAGTACACCGCACAGTTTACAGCTGACTGGAACTACTTTCTTTGGACCAGATTTTAATCCTGAGACATTTAAAGGAGAGTACGAGCATAATACCAGTTCTCCTAGAACCCCAGGAGGGGGAGCATCTCTTCGACGAACCCTTGACGGTCGTCGTCAGCTTGTTATGGAACTTTTTCATGAAGAGGTGTCATTTTTAAATTTATATAATACCATTAGATTTTTCACCTTTTTTAAAATATACTTTAAATTTAAAGGGGCTGTCAATATAATTTCAAGTTACATTCCATAGAGGGCCATTTTCGTTTACAACGGCGATCTTATAGAAACCCCACAATAGAAAATAATCAGTTTTGAAAAAGAAAATCATGGTCATTTCAATCATCTTTGATCAGGAAAAAGCTTTGTAAGAACCTTTATTAATTAAACATGCCACTCTAAAAATGGAAGGCCACTTGAAATTACGTCTAAGACTTTTCAATAGACAATTAATTTGGTTTTAATTTAATATTTTTCATTTTAGGGCCTTTTTCCCTCAAACGCCGCAACAGCTGTTTTCCAAACCAAACATGCTGATCTTTTCCCCAACAAACTTTGCCTTCAACTGAAAATCCGCGAAGTGAGACAAAAATTAATGGCGGCAAATAGTAGCGGAAGCAAGCAAGAAAGCGTGTCAGCTGTTTCAGTTTCTAAAATGGACGGCATTCAACAAAACCTGGTGAACAATACTGCTAGTGTGACAAGTCCCAGTGTAAACTAGAAGTAGACAAATTACATCCTAAGTTAGAAACCATTGTATAAATCTATATATTAATAATTTAGATCAGAAATATTTATCGTACAGCGACACAACGTCTTTAAAATACATGGTCATTGTTCATTGCCGATCAAGGTACAGTCGGAGTCGTACATATCAATACAATAAAGACATAAAAACGACTTTCGATACTAATTTTGATTTATAACCACATTGATTGATACACATACACATGGAAACAAAGAGCCGTCAATTAACAGTTTCTTTTTGTTTACATATAAACTTGTAATTTTAAAAATCTTGTTTGAAATCAAAACTTAAATAGAAAAGTCGTCTTCATAATATTGATATAAACGCCGACTACCTCATAAAACAATGTGCGATGGTAGTTTTATAAAATAAATTTTAAAAAACAGCCACAATAGTTCTTTATATAATTTTGGAATCGCAAAAAAAAAGCACACGAACCACTTGATTATCCAATTTAAAAGTAATTCAGTCAGAGTCGTTTTTTGAAAAATAAGTATATCGGAGAGTCTTAGTAAATAGCTGGATATCATTTTTATCTTTGCAATCTGATGCCATAGACCTTTTATATTTTAAACTATGAATTCTGGTAAATCAACTGTTTGAGGCCAGTCTTCGGTTCAGATGTTAAAAAAAAGTTTTATTTTTGATTAAAAATTTTTTTAAATTAAGGTTAAAGACATAACTTAAGTTCCCTGTTTATTAAGACTCAATGTTTAAACAAAATTGTGTATCAAATTGTTAGAGAAAATGCCTAAAATTACATCATTTATAATCGCAGTACAAACCATAACAAACCTTTGTATTTGTAAACATCCATTAGACCATATCAAGCAATGCAGTAGAGTACCAGTATATAAAGTGCCCAGGTTTTGGCCTAATTCATGCAATAACAACTCTACCTTTTTTAATCTTCATAGTTGGGTACGTTTTCTGTACCTTAAATATTAAAATATACTGTCGGATTTTTCAAAGTCATAAATTTTAAATCATAAATACTTTCTAAAGAATAAAAAAATATAGGAAAAGTCCTTATCCTTAGAAAATTTTAAATTTAAATTTTAAATTTTAAATATGAATTAACTTGTACATACATATGTTTAAATGGATTACACATTTTGGTTATTTAAACAGGTTCGAGGGGTGTAAATATTCTGTAAAAAAATACTTCTAAGATAATATTGATAGATATATTTAAAAACAATTATGATATGTGCATAAGAATTAAAAGTTACAATTTTTTAAAGACGCTCACTAGAAAATTATATCTTTATAACCCTTATCAAAATTATGAAATATTATACAAAGTAAACAAACCCCTCTCTCCCCCGTGATTTTATAGAGATAGTATTAATTATATTATAAAAATAAAATATATGTTTTTGAAAAAATTCTCATGTTAATACAGAATAATGTAATAACGTTAAGGTAAGGCTAAGGCTAAGGGAAGCGTTATTTGGTTAGTTTTGAACAAATTTAACGTTATTTGGTTAGTTTTGAACAAATTTAACGTTATTTGGTTAGTTTTGAACAAATTTAACGTTATTTGGTTAGTTTTGAACAAATTTAACGGTTTTTACATTTCTTTAAGTTTGCTTTTATTATATATATTACAAGGCTACTTTTTTCACAAAACATACTGGGTCGACTCGACAATTGTAGTCCAGAGTGGAAAGTACGACTGAACAAATATACAGCACATGTTGTACCGGCTTGGATTCATTCATCTTTTAGAGTCAAATCAAGTTTTATTGACACCTGCGCATAATTCTCAGTGTGTCAATCGATTTAGAAGTTGAAAATGAAACAGACCACTCTTTGGAAAGCCCAAGAAAATGCTGAAAGTTTAGTCTTTAGGGTGGAGCTCTCCATGGAGAGCAAAACGTAAAACCTCTTCTCTGTTTGGCTTTCAGGCTTTCAACTTTGTTTATTTAGGCCTCAATAGGTTACCAGCTAAAGACTATATTAGTCTAATTGAACCTTGTGGGAGGTTAAACCATATTTAAATAATTGTTAAAGATATTAAGTGTGATGGGGAGACAGCAATCTCTTCTAGTGTGGTTAATCATAAGGAATAATTGTAAAATTTTGTTTTTATTTTTTTATTCTTATGGATGTTTTTAGTTAGCTACACAGGGTATCCCACTAATCCCACGAAACCTGTCAGTTGGTAAATAGTTTAGAATGTCTTCATCCATAATTTGTTAAGTTGTTTAATACCAAAGACAATAATTAAAATATTATTTAGGAGTTATGTTATAGTAAAATTAACTTCAAAATGAAATATATTTGAGCAAAATAAACTGCAAAAAGCTTTTATTATCTGATACAGTGTATGGAAGACGACATTTAAAACTATTTACCAACTGTTATATTTCGTGGGACACCCTGTAGATATTAAAAGTTACAATTTAAAAAAACTAGTGTTGAACTATGGCCGGTATTCTGTATGAAAATGCCTGAAAATACAGATGAAAAAGTTGCAGAAATATTTTCAAAATTAGGGAGCAACTTGTTAAAAACATTTAAGATATTGGTACTTGTTTAATTAGATATATATGTTCTGTATTGATGTGTTTTGATTTGAAAGTTTTTTAATATGTTTTGTATGTGCTCCTCACAGATGACTGTAAGGAATTTTGATTCACTACAACTAGAAAATTACGGGGAATATCCTGTACATTCATCTGACACTTCATTTAACGAATAAATCATTAAATTTGAGATAGAAAAATGAGGATATTTATATTATTATAGCATGTAGACATTGGTTAAAGAATATCGTGGTGAATCAGACATGCTCCTTAATTTATATGGAATGTTACTTAAAACTCATTTAAAGGATTTGTCAGTAATGGATGACCCTGTTATTCACTGCAAAAAAATAATCAAAATTAAAAAAAAAAAAGTTTGCTGCCCCAGACGTAAACTATAGGCCAGATCCATCTATGTATAAAACTCTACGTATTGGTGTAACTGTTGAAGCAATGTTCTCTTTATATACTCCTCCTATCAATTCAGACTGCTCAAATATTACTGGGATATCAATGGATTATGCTAAAATATTCAAAAAGGTAGAAATTAATTTGCAAAGGAATTTCATAAAAAAATCATCAGATATGCACAAAAGTAAAATTGCGTTTTTTGGCGGGAAAGTTATTTGAATTTTAAATGTATCGCTTCAAAAATTAAAACAGAATGTACTTAGCGGAAAGTTTTTGACATTCTTTATAACGATCGGGGTAAAAAAGGGCTAGCTTTTAAGCTCTTTATTTTAAAAGACATTTATACATAATTCTCACATTTTGCGATTAATTACAATATTTGTTTTCATAAACAATTTCGCATTCGATACATTTTTTTAAACATTTTAAAATTCTAAAGTTGGACCCAGAAAACTTTGGAATAGGAAGAATCTAAAATGTTCATCTTATAGATTTACCTGGACCTTGAAAACGAAGTAACTAAGCGAAATGGATCTGCTTTGTTTCATGTGATAATGGGAATGTATTTATAGGGACTGTAAAGGACAAATGAAAAGGGGTATAGGCTGAAACCTGTGAATATCAGGAGCTGAACGATGCCTATAAGACATCTTTCTTATGTTTCTGTCTCGAGAAATTGATATAAAACTGTGTCCAAATGATACGAAAATTCACATAAATACAATTTTGTATAAAAGTAGGTTTTAACAGATCATATTCTACATATACTCAACCAGTCTGAAAACGATTATATCCCACAGGAGCCTGAGAATCTCAGGTTTTCTCCTATTTCTGTCTGTATCACGTGATCAGTATACTGCACTGCCATTGGATGAAGTTATGGTGACGTAATACGGACTATACGGACTATATGTACAATTAAATCTATTAAAAATGCAAAATAAAAAAAATTATAAGAGGGGAAAACCTGAGATTCTCAGACTTCTGAGGGATTTAATCATTTTCAGATTGATTGCGTATTTGCTGAATATGATCTGTTTAATACTACAACTTTTATACAAAATTGCATATAGATAATTTTCGGATAAATTTGACACAGTTTTAAAACAATTTCTCGAGACAGGAACATCAGATAGAAGTCTTATAGGTATTTTTCAACGCCGAAGTTTCTCAGGTTTTATCCTATACCCCCTTTCATTTTTCCTTTATAGTCCCTTTAACCCTATTCCTGCTGGGGGGGGGGGTCAATTTGACCCCCCCTGTAGTTTTTTTTACATAACTCAAAAAGTATTTTGGAAATTTTCTGACTTTTCCTACATACCCAAAGCCCTCCCTTTAGGCCTAAAACCATGCTTTAATACTAACTGCATGAGTCCTCAGGCACACTGTCTGAATGACTGCTTTTTCCTGTGACAAACTAAATCTTTGTTTTGACCCACTTACACTTGTCAGATTTTGATAAAATTTAGTTTTTTGGAAAGCCTTTGACATAAGGAAACGAATTGCACAAGTTTGCGAAAAAAAGTTGCAAATTTTTTGCAAACAACCTGTCAAAGGAATTTTGCACATTTTTAGTTTTTCTTGATTAAAAATCAGATTATTTAAAATTTTGTAAAAAATGTTGCAATTTTGAAATGGCATGGTCAATGGCTTTTCAAAAATGTATAATTTTTCATTTTTTGGACAAATTTTTTTTTGCAAACATTTTTACTATATAACTGTATTTCGCGATAAAAAATTCAATTTTTGCAAATTTGCAAAACATTTTGCAGATTCTAAAAGTAGAGCACAAGAGCTTTCCAATTATGTATCATTCGTCATATTTGGACATCAAACACGGGATTTAGAGGGGGGGGTCAAATTGACCCCCGCCCCCAGCATATCCTGGTTTTCAAGTACCCCAGCAGAGATAGGGTTAACACTTTTATGACAGGGTGGACTTTGAAATGTCACAACAACTTGGCCTTTTATTTTTTCCTACTTACTCATTTATGCATTTTTGCAGTCCAAAGAATTTACATTCTAAAAATTGAAAACTCGTATTATGAGCTTTAATGTTTTAGAATTCTTAATCCTATCTCTGCTGGGGTACTTGAAAACCAGGATATGCTCTAAATCCCATGATTGATGTCCAAATATGACAAATGATACATCATTGGAAAGCTCTTGTGCTCTACTTTTAGAATCTGCAAAAACATTTGAAAATTTACAAAAATTGAATTTTTTATCGCAAAATCCAGTTATATGGTAAAAATGTTTGCAAAAAAAATTTGTCCAAAAAATGAAAAATTATACATTTTTGAAAAGCCATTGACCATGCCATTTCAAATATGCAAAATATTTTGCAAAATTTTAAATAACCTGATTTTTAATCAAGAAAAACTAAAAATGTGCAAATTTCCTTTGACAGGTTGTTTACAAAAAATTTGCAATTTTTTTTGCAAAACTTGTGCTATTCGTTTCCTTATGTCAAAGGCTTTCCAAAAAGCTAAATTTTATCAAAATCTAACACGTGGAAGTGGGTCAAAACAAAGATTTAGTTTGTTACACAAAAAGCAGTCATTCAGGCAGTGTGCCTGAGGACTCAGGCAGTTAGTATTAAAGCCCGGTTTTAGGCCTAAAGGGAGGGTTTTGGGTATGTAGGAAAAGTCAAAAAATTTCAACAGCCTCAGAACAAAACTTTGAGAGTTATGTAAAAAAACTGCAGGAATAGGGTTAACAACTTTTCGGTGAAACCTTGCGACCTTACTGTGATCTTTGCAATGATACTTATCCTCCCTGTAAAGTCTCATTTATTGTGGTTAGCCCTATATTTGTTTTAGTATCTGGGAGTAGAAATTGAATGCTTTGAACCTTCTGATGGAATATGGGGAGGAAAAGTGAATGAAACCTGGACTGGAGTTTTAGGAATGCTTCGCAGGTTTTATCAACTTTATTTTTTTCAATTTTGAGCTATTTTCTTATTTTTAATTGATAAAAACATGCATCTATCATTAGATGATTTTTGTTGGCGCACTGGCGTAATGGAGAAGAAACCAAAGGATTGATAAAAAGTCTACTAATTTCAGCATTTTGCCACAACTTATTTTTTTATTTGCAAAATTGATCGGATCAAAACAATTTCATTTAGGATTTTTTTCAGCAAATTAAATTTGATTTTGGAAGGGAAATAATGTTGTTGGGACATTTCAAAAAAAGACTTTTTAAAAAAGACATTTCATTTTTAACAAATCATGGATAGGACATTTCATAGACAACTCATTTTATTTACAGGACATTTCATAGACAAGAAATCTTTATATATAGGACATTTCATAGACAAGGCATTTCATAGACAGGGTGGAACTTTTCATAACAGTACATTTCCATAGACATGGGCAGATTTTTTATAAACAGACAATTCCATAGACAGAAAAGCATTTTTTAGAGACTACATTTATAAAACTACTAGCTTGGGAACCCAGCGTTATCTAGGTTACTTATAGTTACTCCCGCCGTTTACCTGCACTTGGTTGCAAATTGCGATTTTAGCGATTTATAAAAGTCTACCCACTCAACCTAGAATTTCAATCGCTAAGAACATTTCAGGGGCTCTCCCGAGTTCCCCAATCAAAATTTGAGGCAAATAGGACCAGGGTTCTTGAGTTATGATCGGACAGACAAACAAACAAATAAACAAACAGATATTTCAATATACAGATTATTATGATCTAGGCAAGAAATAGATATTGCAATGCTTGGTTTTATGGAGAGTGAACAAAGAAAAGAAGATTTCACCTTCCTTCATCCAATTGGAAAAGATGGGATGTTCATCATCTCCAAACAAAATCAAAAGAAGGTACAGTGATATTAAGAAAACAATGGAAGACGACATTATAGCAATAGTTAACTGTATTGATGTTGTTACAAAGCAAATAGTCAGACACTTTAACTTGAAAACTTGACAAAACTACGCTTGTGCGACGAACATTTTTAAGAATTCAAGATTTTCGAAGATTTTTCTATTTTCATATTAGTGGATTTTTCTATTTTCATATTGGTGGATTTTTCTATTTTCAATATTAGTGGATTTCCAAATCTGAAAAATATAAATTGATTGACCTCTATTTATAAACCAATTTATGTCTTTAAAATCTATCCATTAATTTGTTCTAGAATAAAGAGTCCTATTGGAAAAGTATCTACGGAGGAATATATTATGATGTTTGGACAGCTCTTCTAGTATACACTGTTATAGCAGGAATATTCAAATTTTATTTACAAAAGAGGTTTTCGTCATTTATTGAAAATCTATTATTTTTTCCCCTAATTTGTTTTAATACTTTGGTTTAAAACGGGGTTAAACACCCGTAAATTGACACAACTAATCTTTTGATTTGACTAATATTCCTTAGCGTTTCTCTTCATTTTTATGAACAAACCCACGAAGAGTTCCAGATCTTCTAAAGTAACAGGTTAATTTATGTTTGATAAATTTACATACTTTGGTATAAAAAATGTATAATAGAGATCGTTAAGAAATTTGTGAACTTATTCATAATAGAAAATATGAGACAATAGACTTTGGGGCGCTTCGCGTCCATCTTCTATTTCAATTGTGATCATTTCTTTGTAGTTTGTATACAAGTTTGCAGAATTTAATTTTTTTTTCGTGGATTTACAAAGTTTAATGAAAATCGAATTTTGTTGGGGGCAAATATCTGAAGTTTGGATAATCATTTTGGTCATGTAAAATCCCACAACAAAATTGGGCCCGATCGGTTCAGCCGTTTTGACGTTTAATGGATACAAACAGACAGACCAACAAAGTAAAAATATGAAATATAGAAGGGATGAAATTTTAAACAGTTTTAATTAAAAATGAGGAAAACCATTACTCCACAGTAACTCGTCATCATTTCATTTTTACCATTTTCTTTAATAAATCTAATTTTCTAATCTCAAAATCTTTGCAACTTGATGTAGTAAACCTTTGTCATTTTAAACTATGAATTCTGATAGATCAAATACTTTTAACTTAAAAAACTCAACTTATTTGAAGAATTTGTCGGAAATGTCTGGACTTTTTTCCTGACAGCTGGCTGGCAAATGTCAATTCTGGATCCTAAACAACTCAGTGCAAAGGTAATTCATGGAGCATATAATCTAGACAGAAGGAGAAGGTAAAATCATTGGTACGACTTTGTGACCTTGTCAGGGAATAGGAAGGGAAATGTCGCTGGTCTAGCATGAGAAAGCCAGTCGCACTGCTTTCCAGACGAGTTCGGTATTACACAGACACACAACACGACTACAGTCAAGAAAATTGTGAACGATGTTCTCAATTATAATTAAGCTTGAATAAACTTTAATCAAATTATAATCTTAACATGAACATTTGGCTTTATAGTGTTGACTTAAATATATATAAATAATATATAACATGTATATTAAACTTATTAAACAATAACAATAAACAAATGTACTCTCCTAGACTGTAGAAATACCGAGATTCTTATGTACTGTATATACCTACAGTACACGCCTTTGGTTCGGTATTACTTACACACACTTTTTTGGTACTTACACACATACATGACGTTTCCGCCTTCCTGGACCTTGTGAGCTAGTTTAGATTTATGCATAAGTATGAGAAATGCAAATTATTCCGGTTAAATATGAAAATATGAAAATTCGAAATAGCTTTTATTCTTCTCAATAACTCTTCAATAAGAGAAGTTTTAGTTGTAAATATAAAATGTTTTAAGGATTAAGTACTTCTTATAGTTTATTCTAGATTTTAGTATTGAGTAGTTTGTTCTAGATTTTAGCATTGAGTAGTTTGTTTCTTGGTATGATGATGTACAGCTCCTATTCTGGAGTCCTAGTATCTAACATAATGGTGCGACGAACTGATGTTGCGGTCAATTCGTTTCAAGAGGTCATGGATACTGATCACAAGGTTAGTTTTTTATCATCACTTTTTTTTACTTTTAGAATATATATATATAGTTTTTAAAAATATTCTCTATTTTGATCAAATTAGCGAGGGAGGGGGTGCAGGGCCGTCATGAGCCCCAAGAAAAGTACCTCCGGGCCTCCTGATACACAAAAGTCCCCCCAAGCTCCGCGAAACCATCTCCAAGCCTCTTGCTACCCTGCCAGCCTCCGCCATTCAGTCTCCACACCCCGCATTTTTGTCTCCAATGAAAGACATTTGGCTTTTACATCCACAAATTGTTTTTCAAATCATCTCAACATGAAAAAAAAAATAATTTTAAATGATGATTTTACTTGAGATTGAGACGTCGGTGTTTGTTTTCTAAATTTCACAAATTCCTTAACAAAGATTAGTTTTATACAACTACAAGTGCGGAACAAATACGTATAAGCACTCCATAATTCAGTGAGAAAAATAAAGATAGCTCCGTCATTATTAATCAGACATAGAGGTATTTAGCATACTGCTGTGAATCGAACATTCGGTTCTGCAATTGACAGTTAAATGCAAAATTTCGCCTTCATTTTTCATTTCTCAAATGTAATTGTTAGGCTTCGCTATCGATCAACATTATAAATATATATTTGTGTTTGCTTAACATTTTTCTAACTCAGTAATGAGGGGTGTGTCTAAATTATCAAGCACAATATTAATGTTAATAAATTAATTAAAAACTAACAAGAAAAGGAACTGTAAGCATTACTTTAAATGACCTGACATGACAGTGACATCCTGGATTCACAACGGTACCCTTTTTAACCTTTGAATGATCAAGGATATCAGAGTTTTCCTTATTTTTCTAAAGCATCTCTCGTAAATGTTAAACACTTTGTTTGGAAGCTCTTTCAAATTTTATAATCCAATTTTAAGGCTTTTACAGAGCATTTTAAAGATGTCTACACTGAGACCTCTGTCTTTAATGATCAGTGACAGGTTCTAAGGGTACGCGTTGTGAATTACGGATATCCTTTTTATTAAATTAAAGATCCCTAGGACGTTATGCTTACAGTTCCTTTCATATATATTTTCATTTTCAGATTGCTACCTACATGGGATCAATAGGAATACATCATACATTGTTTTTCTAAATTATGCTCTTTTCTTGTTTCTTGTTTCATATTAACAATATAAAATGAATCCTAATATTTTCTTTTGAAATCCTAAAACTAACTTCATCAAATGGCATCCTGTCTATATCGGAGTATATTTTTAGTTTTTTATCTCTCATTCAAAACCCGTAAAAAGATAACGTATGAGACCTTAAAACAGTGATAACCAGTAAACTAAAGAAGAGAAAGACGACTTTTGAGCCAAGTTATAACTTTAAAAGGCCAAAGAGCATGAGAAATTGTACAGTTTAATAAAACCCATTTCACTAAATTACTAATTTAATGTGTCAAAAAAAACTATTTGCTTTGTAACAACATCCAATACACTTTAGTATTACTATGATGTTGTCATCCTGTTCCATGGTTTTCTGGCTATCACTGTATCCTAAATTATAAAAGTATAAAATAACAAATACGAAAATCTACATTTATTCGAAATGATTTGTTAAAAATGGGGTTCAGCCAAGGTTTTATAATATTTACGGGAAATATCGACTTCTAAAATATGTCCGGAAAATATCGTCTCCTAAGATATGTCCGGAAAATATCGTCTCCAAAAATATGTCCGGAAAATATCGTCTCCTAAAATATGTCCGGAAAATATCGTCTCCTAAGATATGTCCGGAAAATATCGTCTCCTAAGATATGTCCGGAAAATATCATCTCCTAAGATATGTCCGGAAAATATCATCTCCTAAGATATGTCCGGAAAATATCGTCTCCTAAGAAAGATAGATAAAAAACTAATATGACGTCACTGATTACAGAGGCGAAAGTGTCTGATTACAGAGGCGAGAGTGACGTAATACTATATTTTTATCTATCTATCCTAGGAGAGGGCATTTTCATACATTGAAGCTCATTGCAAGTAACCAACCTTATTGTACTACCTAGCATTTTGCTCAACTACTGCTCCATGCAAGTCATTCACTTTTAGCTAAACATTGTGTGATATTTGAACAGGAATGGATATGGTTGAATCCTTTAAGGTAGAGTTCAAGGTTTTAAAGTTTTATTCTTTACAAACTCCTAAATCCGTAACTGAACTCAGCTTGTAAACTAAACTTATTGCTCATTTTCATAAACTTAGTTATAGATCATCTGAACTTCGCTCATTTTCTTGAACTTAGTTATAGTTCATCTGAACTTAGCTCATTTTCTTGAACTTAGTTATATAGTTCATCTGAACTTAGCTCATTTTTTTTAACTTAGTTTTAGATTATCTGAACTTTGCTCATTTTCCTGAACTTAATTATAGATCATCTGAACTTAGCTCATTTTCTTAAACTTAGTTATAGATCATCTGAACTTCGCTCATTTTCCTGAACTTAATTATACGAATTTTCCTAACTATATAATGTCTTATCTATACAAATGTCGTATCATTGAATTATCTTTCTATGAATTTTCCTATCTATTAAATGTCGTATCTCTGAAATGTCCTATTTCTGAAATGTCCTATCAATGTAATGTCCTATATTTCAAATGTCTAACATGAAATGTATAAGAAATATGATTTGACTTCTGTTTAGATCGAATACAAACTAGAAGAGGTGAAAATCCCATCAAAATGTTTGTTTGCGCGCTTGAAACCCATTTCAATAAATTAGATATTTTTATTCAATTTTACTCATCTTTTTTAATAGCAGTTCGATAAAATAACTTTTTCACCCTACATCGGGCAATATTATGGTGTTATGTATTCCCTCAAAATTGAATAAACCTAAATATATATGTGTAGTCCACGAACCCTGGAATATCTTCAAATATCTTGTATCTAGAGAGTAAAGAAACAAAAGATAGACTAGATTATGTCAGGTACCATTTTTATTAAAAATTAGAACTTTTCGAAAATTTCGAAAAATTTCAAATTTCCAAATTTATTTTAGAAATTCTGATAAAATAGTTACTTTACTGCCAGGAGAAGATTTCGCTAAGCATTATATTAAGAAACAAAAGGTGACTAACTACCCTGGTCCAATAAGTGCATGATCCGAACCGATACAAGGATTTACCAGTCTTTGTAATTGACTTGTACCGACTAGTCTAGACTACCCAGTGTAAAGTTTTTATATAATACCAATCTAGTGTAATTGTACCAGTGGGTCCACGCTACACTTCGTGTAAGAACCCAGCAGGTTTTTATATGATACCAGTCTAGTGTAATTGTAAAGGTGGAACCACGCTACACTTTGTGTAAGAACTCAGCAGGTTTTTATATAATACCGGTCTAGTGTAATTGTACCTATGGGTTCAAACTAAACTTTGTGTAAGAACCAAGCAGGTTTTTATAAAATACCAGTCTAGTGTAATTGTACCGGAGGGTCCAATCTGCACTTTGTGTAAGGACCCAGCACGTTTTTATACAATACCGGTCTAGTGTAATTGTACAGGTGGGTCCACGCTACACTTTGTGTAAGAACCCAGCAGGTTTTTATATAATACCGGTCTAGTGTAATTGTACCAGTGGGTCCAAGCTACACTTTGTGTAAGAACCCAGCACGTTTTTATATAATACCAGTCTAGTGTAATTATACCGGAGGGTCCAAGCTACACTTTGTCTAAGAACCCAGCAGGTTTTTATATAATACCTGTCTAGTGTAATTGTACCGGAGTGTCCAAACTACACTGTGTGTAAGAACCCAGGAGGTTTTTATATAATACCGGTCTAGTGTAATTATACCGGTGGGTCCAAACTAAACTTTGTGTAAGAACCCAGCAGGTTTTTATTTAATACCAGTCTAGTGTAATTGTACCGGTGGGTCCAAACTAAACTTTGTGTAAGAACCCAGCAGGTTTTTTATATAATACCTGTCTAGTGTAATTGTACCGGTGGGTCCAAGCTACACTTTTTGTAAGAACCCAGCAGGCAATAATTATAGACATTGTTACTCTTCTTTCTGCAAGCCTCTTGTACTTTCTGAAAAAAAATGCATCAAAGGGATGCGTTTTTGCCACTAACTCTACTATTGTAATCCCAATATCTTGCAATCCTATGTCGTAAACCTTTGATGTTTCAAACTATAAATTCTGTTGGATCAAATAGTCTAATCTAAAATAATATTATTTTGCTCCCAACTTTTTTACATCAGTTTTTTTTTCAGGGTAAGTGCGAGTTGGGGAGAAGTAAGACCCCAATTAGTTCCAGCGATTTGCCATATGCGTTCGCAGTCAACAAGGAAGGGTTTTTAAATATCAAAAACAATTTAAAAACAAGGTTTGACCAGAACTGTTTACATGACTTGAAAAAGGTTTATGCCAAATTTTGAACGTGAATCTGAGTAACAGTGTTGATTATATCGTTTTTTCTTTAATAAACAAAAATAAATTTGCTAAGATCCTTTCTTGTCAATCGTTCACAAATCTGCGAGTCAATTTTGTAAAAGACCTTGAAGTCCGATACATCTTTTAACCCAGTTTTCGGGTTGAGGGTGACGGAGTTATTCAAGTTTTTCAAGCTCAAAATTAAGTGCAGAGTTGGGTAAAAGAAAAGTATTTTCTTTTAATTGTCTAAGAAATAAGTATGAAATAAGTATGAAAGTATGAAAACTTTAAATCACGGACACTACTTTCATTTTCAACTGAACGATTTTTTAGTGCATTGCATTATATATATAAAAAGTTTTTCTAAATCTTTACTGTGGAAAACTGTTGGAAAAAAGCATAATATTTTTTTTATAAAAAAGTTTGTACACAAAGTGAGAAACAATTACAATCGATTTTAGCCACTCAACTTTCAGCTCGAAAAACTTGCGTGTCATTATTGTCCGTGATCCTTTCTTAAACAAATGATGACAAGATAACTGGGTCCTTTGAAATTACAACTATGCTAGTCCCATACGCCCACTCAGCTTTAAATGAATTTGTTATGTTATAAGTTTTGCTTTTGATGGGTTAAACAAAGAGATGTTAATTTATAGAAAACAAATTGTCAAAAAAATGTAAAATGAAGTATTTAACCCTGATTAGAATTACCCGATGGAATCCCAACTAAATGTAATTCTTCAAAAAACTGACGAAAGTGGAGTTCTTCAATATATCAAGAAATCTAAAATTACAAGGTGACAAGATAAAAATTAATTCATTCAATCATTTGGTGTACTGTCCTGGTTTGTCTTGCATAGTTTTTGATTGTACTGTACAGCTTCCTCTAGCTGCTTAAAAGTCGGCGCGTAACTTGAAATGAACCGGAATTTACAGAAGCACGTAAGTAAACTTTTCCAGTCTTTTGAAGTTCTGATCATCATTAAATCAGGCATGATTGATAGACGTCAGATCCATTAACGTCCCTTGGGACAATTTAGCATTGATCTTTGTCAAAACAAATTTCATCTTTAAAGAGACTGTAAAGGAAAAATGAAAGGGAGTATAGGATAAAACCAGAGAATCTCAGGCGTTGAACGATACATATAAGACATCTATCTGATGTTTCTGTCTCGCTCTAGAAATTGATATAAAACTGTGTCAAAATTTTACGAAAATCTATATTTATGAAATTTTATATAAAAGTTGTAATATTAAACAGATCATATTCAGCAAATACGCAAACAATCTGAAAACGACGATATCCCACAGAAACCTGAGAATCTCAGGCTTGCTTTACAGTTCTTAAATGTCTAAGGCTACAGAAAAGTATAAGATAGATACAAAAGTAAATTCAAATAACAACGCGTAGCGATACTTTAAAGTCGACCCAGCTGTAGGGATAAATGTGCCCATGTATAATTTACAGGCTAGAGGATGCGGAGCGTCTGCATTGCACTGAATCGATTGAATTTAATCGACTTGATCATGGCTCATTTCGAGGCTTCTTCACTGTTCTTGGGGGAGGAATAGGTATGTAATGTACCAATAAGGAATTAAAAATATTTATTAAATTTTGAGAGAATTGTTATCCCTGCATTTTTATTCTCAATCTAATTCTACATTTAGGAAGTTACAATTTAGTATATTTATTTCATCCAAAGAATTATTTCTGTTTAGTATGTTCCCTGTGTTTCCTGGCTGTAGAGATTTGTGTTAGGTCATACAAGAATCAGGAATAGAGGCGTTTTTACCCAATGGGATGGGGGGAGGGGGGGGGGGAAGTTTATAATTATTTTAAGAAGCTGATCCAACATGGTTTTCTAAAAAATTAATTTGGTCTTAATTTTTGTTTTGACCATATTTCTGATGTCAGAGGAACGATTTGGCACACTTTAATAAAAATGTTTGAATTAAAGGAAGGTAGGGTTTCCAGTCGTAATTGCGTTACGCGTAATTACGCGTAACGAAACGTAACACTTTCTTTCACTTACGCAGGAGCATTACGCGTAATTACGCATATATTACGTTTACGAAAGAAAGTCTAGTTTCGCGTAATTAAGGCGTAATTACGCGAAATTACGTATTACGTAACAATTCCGTAATAAATAAAGTACATATTAATTCTCAGAAATAATTATAGCGGGACAGTATGTACTCAACCCCCCCCCC